TGGCACATCCCTTTGCTATTTTAGTTATGAATCAATGGCATGTCAATAAGTGCTTTCTAAGAAAGTTATTGGACAAAGTACTATTTTGAACTCCAAATTTTATTCCCGCTATTAATTTATGAAGAGGATCATTTCTCTTTCTACTAGAAAAGGTAACAGATTTGCTTTTGTTAAAATGGTATACTGTTCTTCTGAGTTTCATTTACTTATTATTTTACCTTACATTGAAATTATGACCTGAAGACAGAAGCAACTGGGAAAAGGTCCACTGTGTTATGGCTGGATGAAGCAGGAAGAGGAGAGAGAGAAACCAGGTCAAAGATAGAAAGGGCTCAGTGACTTTGCCTTGCTTGGACTTTCCCTTCACCCCACAGGACATGAGATCTGAAACAGCACCCTCGACTTCCCATCCAAGATACAATCCTAATCCCACATTTAACACCCTAACTTCTTAACCGGAGTTTAGTAATTTAAACTATAATGTTAATAGGTGAAATTCTGGAGTACCATCCCAAAACATTTTGTTCATTTGCCAAAATCCTAAGGAATTTCCATGAGATACAAAGCAGGTAAGTCTGGATACAGGAAAAAAGATAAAAACATGCTATTCACTACACAGCAAGAAGGATATTGAGTGGTAAGGGAGCACATCTCAAAAGGGACCTCAAAAACCCTCTTCATTCACAATGGCAGGAGCTAGAAAGAGTAAAGCCACCTATAGGGTCAAATATCTCTCCTAATCATGTCATGTTAAGGCACTGGATTCTGAATCCACACAGAAGGAGATCCTCACCATCACTCCTCACAAGGACCCAAGGCTTGCCCCACAGCATTGCTTCTGTACTACTTAGCAGCTGTGTGACCCTGGAAAAAGGCCTTCAATTCTCTGGGCTTTAATGTCCTCCATGGAAAATGAAAAGGATATTAAAATATGAAAAGTATATGTAAAGAGTCCTAGAAATTTTTCATTCTGAGTGCAGTGTCTGTACATTCCTCACAACTACCTAAGGAGTTACCATCAATGCCTCCAGCCAAAGACTGGAAGGAGCATACCCTTGAATGAACAACTTGGCTTTATTTTTTATTGCAATGATGGATAAAACTCACCATGGGGATAGTGCAGCCCTTGAGTAAGAGACTGTTGGAACCAAAGAAATAGAACCAGGAGAATACATATATTAAGAGAATGATGCAAGGAATTAATTGTTGTAACTGTGGGGGTGGGTTAGGCAAGTCCAAGATCCACTGGGAGGTGGCTGTCAGGAGGGCAGGCTGGCGCTCTCAGCACAGGCTGACATGCCGTTCAGAGGGGAATTTCTGTTTCCTCAGAGAAATTCCAGCTCTGCTCTTAAGGCTTTTCAACAGCTTAGATTAGGCTCACCCAGTTTTTCTAGGATACATTCTTAACATCAATTGATTATGAACTTCAATGACATCTACAAAATATCTTCACAGCAACATCTAGATTCTGAGTGTTTGATTGAATAACTGGGGATCACAGTCTAGCTGACACCTAAAATTGACCACTAATCAATTCTAAGTTTCGTGCTTGTTTTAGGTGATTTTGGGGAGGATTTAAGAAAGAGGGATTTTGCTTTTAACTGGATTCTGACAGAAAGTGGAGGGTTGGGGTGGCAATGCTATGATTGGGTAGCTTCATAAATCCTACCTAGAGGGACAAAAGACTCTCCTGAGGCTACAGATGTAATTAGTAGAGATGTAACAATCACTCCTGAGAAAGATGTGCCTGGTCATTTTTGTGGTTTGAACAATATTCATGTTTTGTCTGGCTTCAGACATGATGACTGAGCATTCTGGTGTTCCATCTCAATCCATCGTGCTCACAGAGAACCTGTCTGATTCTGATGTTCTGTGAAATCCTTTATCACCAACAGGAGAACCATAACCATCTGGGAGTGCCAGGCTAGCTCCTAGAAACCCCAAGACCTTATTAATTGCATCCAGGCAGCTCTCAGGGGTCAGAACATTTTTTTTGTTTGTTTCACCTTTTTTTTTTTTTTACAGTCTCTGCCACTGGGAGGTAAAGCATAGTGCTGAGAATCTCAGAAGGCCATTTATCAAGGACAGAGTGATTCTAAATAGAACTTCCATTAGCTCATGGTTTCTATCACATATAGAAAATATATTCACCTGAAGAAAAGAACAGATTTCCTTCTAATGACTAACTTTAGTTCAATCTCTAGTAACTTGCAAGTGGTAGGATAACAAATTTTAAAAGATCTGGTAGTTTAAGACAAGAAAATCATTTCTCTAAGTCAATGCAATTCTTATTCTACCCTTAACTTTTGACTTGACATTCTAAATTAAAAAAAAAAAAATTCTTAGAATATTTGAGCCAACCAAGCTTTTTTCTTTTTTTCTTTTTTTTCTTTTTTTTTTTTTTTCTTTTTCTTTTTTTTTTTTGAGACCAGTCTGACTCTGTCACCCAGGCTGGAGTGCAGTGGCATGATCTTGATCTTGGCTCACTGCAACCTCCGTCTCCCAGGTTCAAGCAATTCTCCTGCCTAAGCCTCCTGAGTAGCTGGGACTATAGGCTCATGCCACCACAACCCAATGATTTGGGTTTTTTTTTTTTTTTTTTTTTTTTTTTGGATTTTTAGTAGAGATGGGGTTTCTCCACGTTAGCCAGGATGGACTCAATCTCCTGACTTCATGATCACCTGCTTCGGCCTCCCAAAGTGCTGGGATTACAGGCTTGCGCCACCATTCTGGCCCAGCCAAAGCTTTTAGGTGTAATCAATTCCCTAAATTTCCTTTAAACTTACTCAAACAGCACCAAAACACAGAACATAAGGATTACTCAACGCAAAGAAAAACTGTATAAAATCTCCTACAGTTACTGCACAGAGCACCATCTGACATTATAACCTCTTTTTATTGCCCTGGCCAAAAACACCTGAATCTTTTGAGAGCTTGAGAAGAACTTACCCAGCTGGATTTATACAAGTAGAAAAGGCAAAGGTATTGCTTTTCTACCATCAGCAGAGATCACTAGGTAGGTGGGGTCAACTTAGTATTTGGAGAATTCATGTGCACTGTGGAAGCAAAAAGAAAAACAGCTGACCCACATACAGAAGTCAGAGAAAGAGGAGGCAATGGGGACTGCCGGGGAGGGAAATCAACTCGGAAAAATTCCTGGAGGCTGTAACCCAGAAAATCCTGAAGGATGCCATGTAATTAATGACTTCATCTATCCATGAGGCTGCTCAGAAATGCCCACCCCTCTTGCCACTGGCAGACACGCACACACCAGAGAAGATTCCAATTTAGTGTCCTCCCTCTATTCACAGAACGTTTCCTCAAGTCCACTCTGAGTGGAGGCTGCATCACAACCAGGGGATTTCCCCATCTTCTTTCAGGGCTGTTAATACAAACTCCTCAACTAGTAACTGAGGTGTCACCACCGGGGATTTTTCTAATTGGCCAAAAGCTGATCTGGCAGGGTTTGGTTTGGGTGTCTTCAGATCTCCTTGTGTGGAGGTCCTCACAGTTACTCTACAACTTAGAACAGCAACTGCTGAGGCTGCCTTGGGAAGAGGATGATTCTAAACAAAGCTCTGATGCTGGGGGCCCTCGTCCTGACCACCGTGATAAACCCCTGTGGAGGTGAAGACATTGTGGGTGAGTGCATGGGTGAGGGATATTTTCTGGAGCTGAAAAACAGGAAACTGAAGGAACAGAGAGAAAACAATTTGCAGAGATTTCCCAAGGGCCCCTTTAGTATTAAGAGATTTAAAAAGTATAGCTATTTTCCCTTCAGGAAACCAGAGTCCCAACTTACTCTATTTGTTATCTATGCTGTTGGCATTCTCACTAAGGATGCTATTCAATTTATATAATATTCATTGACAATAGCCTGGGGTCTCTATGTCATTGCATAATGATTGCCTCAAAAATTAGTGAGGTTTCTATTAGTGGAGAATTTTTTATTACCAAAAGTTTGTGAAATGTCACTCTCAAATTTCTCTGAACAACTTTTGAAGCTTTTCATATGTCTCCTGTAATAGAACTTGGAGTAAATAGTTCCTTTAATTATATACTCTGTAGATATTAAGAAGGATGCTCTTTTCTTTCTCTCACACTTGCTCACATTTCCCCATAGGAACTGGCACAGGTGGGGAGTGGGTAGAGGAGTCCAGCAGGCTGAATGCCTTCAGCAATCGTCTCACCACGTGGTCCTCACTTACCCTCAGCTGCCTCGTCCATGTCACCTCACAAATAATCAAATAAAATGGGCCTGTAGACAAGCTTTGTAAACAGTGAAAACATGAATGTCCATTTTTTAAACATATTTCTAATAGTTATAGCTTCACATTTCTTTTCTTTAGCAAAACAAGGAATCTTTTTATTTTAAAATTGAGAATTTATGATAGAAAAACTTGGTAAATTAAATCATGTAATTCTTAAATTATCAACTCAAATTACCTGTTCTTCACCTCATCTAATAAAGTCCTATAAAAAGAAAAGTGGGTCAGACGTGGTGGCTCACGCCTGTAATCCCAGCACTTTGGGAGGCCGAGGCAGGAGGATCATTTGAGCCCAGGTGTTTGAGACCAGCCTAGGCAACATAGCAAGACTTCATCTCTACAAACAAAAATAAAAATAAAAATAAGCCAGGCATAGTGCTGCATACTTTTGGTTCCAGCTATGCAGAAGGCTGCAGTGGAAAGACTGCTTGAGTCTAGGAGGTGGAGGCTGCAATGAGCCATTATGGCACCACTGCACTCCAGCCTGGGTGACAGAGAGAGACCCTGTTTCAGAAAGAGAAAAGAAAGAGAGAAAGGAAAGAAAAAAAATACAGAAAGGAAGAAAGGAAGAAAGGAGGAAGGAAGGAAGGAAGGAGAGAGAGAAAGGGAGAGACAGGGAGGGAGGGAGGGAGGGGAAGGAAGGAAGCACAGATTAATTATTTGGTCTTTTGTCGTCCATCTCTTTCCACCTCTCTTCATGCATTCCTTTCTCCCTTTGCCCTTTCAGGGAGTCTCTGACTCCCTACTCCTTTATGATCATGGACTGTGGGTTTGTAAAACAAAAGTTGAAACATCAAATACTTAAAAGGGGAATTGAACAGGAAGCTCATCTAAACTTCCACAAGCCTATTTACTGTGGCTGCTCTATTGATTACCTGCTTCTCCAGAGCACTTGGCTTCTTTGTTCCAAACTTCCTTTCTTCAACCTCACACCAGAGTGCCCTGGTCAGGCTCGGCTCATCCATTAGGCACAGCGTGGGCAGTGCAGGGAATCCTCCATCCTGTAAAGCTACAAGAGAATGTTTTACTCCTTTTAACATTAGAAAAAAAAAGAAATTACAGAGCCTAAGAAAATGTTTTAACTTCTAATTCAGCCTGAATGATATTGTCTTTATACCAATTCAGTCATAAAATATAGTTTCCATATTTTTATGGAGGAAGGGGCCCACAAAAGCAAGAGTGCTCGGGGCTCGCAAGTCAGAACACAGCCCTGGTCATGACTGATCCTGGCCTCCGTGTGGTTCTGCTACCTGTGTGCCTGTCAGTCTTCCCCAAAATCTATGCGGCCCTCTAATATAGCAACTGTCAATTAATACACACGTTTGAGCACACAGTGAACTAAGTTTTAAGGATTCAAAGATGAAAAGTCATGCTATCTTCCCTGCAGACGGTGCTAAGACTAGTGATGCAAACAGTATGGGGTGCAGGAAAGTAGAAAGCCATTGCTGAGCAAGCAGTGGCCCCAGCAGAGGTAGAAACTGTATAAGTTACTTGGTTCCTGCTGGGCCAGCAAGGTGATGTCCTCCAGCAAAACTTGGCATCCAAGAGAAGTACCAGATGAAAAGAAGGATTGCATGAATTCCACATATATTCATGTTTGAACAAGGAGTCAAGGTTTATTGCAAGGATAAGGAGGCTTTGTTGCTAGCCTGTTAAGACCAACCAGGGCAGTCATGCTGGTCAGGGAAGAAGGTGAACTGGAAGATGAACAGACAAACTTGGAGAGCCAGATGCTGAGATGGAGGAGTTAGAGGTCATAATGTGGTCAAAAACATGTTAATGGGAGGACTTGGCTACAAAATTGTTAACTAAGCAGAGACCTCGAGGATAAATTTTAGGATTTCTCCAGGAAGTCCTAAAAGATAATTTCACTTTAGGGAGAAAAACAACAGACCATTGCAAAAACCAGGGAACATGAAAAAACAATGTAGTTTGGTTTGCTTGGCAGAGATTTGTGAAGGATGTTGGAATGTAAGGCTGTCGATATCCTCCTCACAGAACTCACCACAGCACACTGTATTTGCTCCCTTACCTACCTGACTCTTCCACTATTCAATTTGTTTCTTGATGGTAGACAATGCCTGATTGGTGTTTTACACATCCCCTGCTATGTCTGACACTTTCAGAGGCTCAGAAGGTGGGGAAGGAAGGAAAGATACAATGGAAAAAGCTTACACGTCTTGACAAGAATGTCCACTTAGGCTCATTTGGCTGGAGTCATGCTGCATGGCTGCCATTCTGCTCAGGCAGCCTCAGACAAGTACACTGAGCATTAGAGGAAAAAGGGCTTAATTTACCTGAGTCCTCAAGTGAATATAAGTGTCGCTTCAGAACTCTGTAGACATTCGGTAACCTCCTTCAAAGGAAAAAAAAAGTGGAGGGAATGAGAGAAATTCATAAATTAGCAGAGCTTCCAATTTTTATTTCAGAAGAAATCAGTTGCTCTCCTCCAAGGACCATTACTATTAACAAAACAGAGATCTTAGAAGGAAGCATTACTTACTTATATTTTTTGTAATGTTATTACTGTTCTTGTTATACTCTTTCTGATACTCTACAATTGTTAGCAGAAGTTGTTTTAATTAATATGGTCCTGCATGCTTTTTCTTTAAAAAAAAAAACAAAAAGAAAATAGAGTGTCCTGTACTGAGCCAATCCTGAGAGAAAGAAAGGTATAATCAATTTGTTATTAACTGATGAAAAAATTAAGTGAAAGATAAATCTTAGGAAGCAGAGGGAATTAACCAAATATCTGACTAAGAAAGCAAAATACTACCATAACTCATTCATCCTTCTTTTGTTCAATTACATTATTTAGTCACAAGTACATGATGTGGCAGGCAATCAGGAAATAGTAAAAATTGGACATGTGATAGTTTGCCCTTTTGTAGCACACATTATAGTGGGAAAAAAAGTGCAGTTTTAACTGGACAACCACCAACACAAAGAGGGGAGGAAGCAGGGGCTGGGAATGTCCACAGGCTGTGACAAAGATGAAGCCAATAATATTTGAAAGTCAGCTTCTTCCACCATTTTTGTATTAAGGGTCTTTCTTCCCCTCTTCTCCACTTTCTTGCTTATCACCTTCACTCACCAGCTGACCACGTTGCCTCTTACGGTGTAAACTTGTACCAGTCTTATGGTCCCTCTGGCCAGTACACCCACGAATTTGATGGAGATGAGGAGTTCTACGTGGACCTGGGGAGAAAGGAGACTGTCTGGCAGTTGCCTATGTTCAGCAAATTTTTAAGTTTTGACCCACAGGGTGCACTGACAAACATCGCTGCAGCAAAACACAACTTGGACATCCTGATTAAACAGTCCAACTCTACTTCTGCTTCCAATGGTATGTGTCCACGATTCTCCCTCTCTTTACTGAAACTAGCCCTTCACAACAAGTTTCATTATTTCCAAGAGGTTCCCAGATCTTCTCATGGCAATTGCTGAAATTTTATCATATCCCTTCTCTAAAATCACATATTCCCATGTAATACAAGGGTTTTTCCATTATGCATTCATTAAATCCTTCTAGGAGAGGTCTCATCAATCTTCTACTTTATTGAACATGCCCACAGAGAGAAGGGAACAAGAATAAGCAGAGGCAATGTATCATTTTGCTCCCAAGCAGAAGTTAAATAAGACCTCTTTGACCAGCAGCAGAGGAAATGCTGGTAGGAGGGCTCTTCCAGGACACAATGCAGAACCCCAGGGCAGAGCTATTCACACTTCACATCAATGCTGTTTCCTCACCACAGAGGTTCCTGAGGTCACAGTGTTTTCCAAGTCTCCTGTGGCGCTGGGTCGGCCCAACACCCTCATCTGCCTTGTGGACAACATCTTTCCTCCCGTGGTCAACATCACATGGCTGAGCAATGGGCAGTCAGTCACAGAAGGTGTTTCTGAGACCAGCTTCCTCTCCAAGAGTGATCATTCCTTCTTCAAGATCAGTTACCTCACCTTCCTCCCTTCTGCTGATGAGATTTATGACTGCAAGGTGGAGCACTGGGGCCTGGAGGAGCCTCTTCTGAAACACTGGGGTAAGTATGCGTTCCACCACTTTTTGAGCTTTCTTGTCTGTCAAGTTCAGAATTTCCCGCCTTTTACTCCTATGTCCCGAAACTTGTTTTCCACACTTCATGGGATTATTTTCTCTCTCTCTCTTTTTTTTCTGAAAGAATAGAGCAACGAAAGGAGAGATTTCTTGAAAATGAAAGTACACTCCACAGGGTGGGAGCAGGCCTGCCACTCATTGGTTTCTAATGATAGACTTCACTCTCCTCCCTAAGCCTGGAGCCTTGGGTCTCTGCAGAGCCAATCCTCCACCCCATCCCATCCCACACACCTGCACATGAGCACACTCTGCATTCTGACCTCAACAACTTCACTTCCACAGAACCTGAGATTCCAGCCCCTATGTCAGAGCTCACAGAGACTGTGGTCTGTGCCCTGGGGTTGTCTGTGGGCCTCGTGGGCATTGTGGTGGGCACTGTCTTCATTATCCGAGGCCTGCGTTCAGCTGGTGCTTCCAGACGCCAAGGACCCTTATGAATCCCATCCTAGAAGGGAAGGTACGATTGAGATTTGTTAGAGCTGAAGCCGCAGTATGAGGGGAAGGAAAGTGGGAAGGGATTGTGGAAACAAATGTGGTTGAATGTAGTAGGGGAATTGGTAAGTGGCATGATCATGACACAGGAGCGCCCTTGGAGCCATCACTCTCATGTCTGTCCTATTGCAGGTGCATCACCATCTACAGGAGCAGAAGAATGGATTTGCTAGGTGACCTACCACTATTCCCTGGCTTGATTTATCATATCCCTTTTCTCCTTCAAATGGTTCTCCTCTCACCTTTTCTCTGGGACTTAAGCTGCTGTATCTCCTCAGAGCTCACAAATGCCTTTTGAATTCTTTCCCTGACCTCCTGTTCTTTTTTTCTTTTCTCAAATGTTACCTTCTAAGAGATGCCTGGCGTAAGCCAGCCAGCTACGTAATTCCTCAGTAACCTCGATCTAAAATCTCTATGAAAACAATAAATTCCCTTTATGAGATCTATGTCAAATTTTTCCATCTTTCATCTAGGGCTGACAAACTATGGATAAGAATTGGGAGACTCTTATGTTTCAAGCCAATTTAATCTCCTTTCCCAGATCATATTTCATGTACAGTAGCACAGAAGCAACCAAGGTACAGTATAGCCTGATAAGCCTGATAATGTGCTGATTTCTTAGCTGATGTTAATGTTTCTTTCTTCCTTGTGTTCCCATCCTTGGGACTGCCACCCACCCTCAATTCAGGCAACAATGAAGTTAGTGGATACTGTACTCTGCCCTTGGCTCAGAATTGTTATAGCAAAAATTTTAAAACCAAAACATTAGTCTGTACTCATTTCAATGTGGCTTTTAAAAGTGTGACAGAGAAATAAGTTAGGATAAAGGAAATTTGAATCTCAAAAATACCAGAAGTAAAAATTTATTCTCAAAATCTTAATGTTGTGAAGAATGGTGACAGTAGAAGCCTTCCTCTGCCATCCTCACCTTGAGGGAATACAAATTCTTTAGGCAGGAAAAGAAATGGGAGTCAGAGAAACATTAGAATAAGACAACGATGTGGGTATCTAAAAAGGAACAAATACTCCTCACATAGGGTTAAAGACAATGGGAAAAGGGATGGGAGTAGAGGCCACAGACATATCTAGGAGCCCTGAATACAGTCGCAGTCTGCCTCACCTCCCGAGTGAGGCTTTGCTAGAGAACCATGTAGCTTTCCCTGTGCCACCCTGGCATGAAGGAGACAGTATAGTGAATATGGCTGCAGGATGTTTCTAGGAAATATGCCCATAAAAAGCAATGCCAATATCTTCAGAAATCCCCAGCCCTTTCTGCTCACCCCTCCTGGCTGAGGAAAGTGTGAGCTTAGGAGAGAGTCCCTAGGAAGAACAACACAGTTGAGACAACGTAGCAGCAGCTGTGGGTGCTTTGTCCTCCTAGCAGAAGCTCTCCCAGAGGAAATGAGTCAGCAGTGACCTCATGGCTCTAACCAGCTATGAAATCCATGAGAATATTTCTATACATGCTACCCGCATCAGTGAGTTCACATTTTAATTGGAGGAAAATGACAAAACATTAATTAATTAATATAGTATAGTTCGGTGCAAAGAACCCTAAATCCAAATCCAGGAGTCAGTACTTTGAAGCTAGTATTTTAAACTTTATAAATGGGTAAAGTATCCAACACTCTGGCTTTATTTTCTCATCCACAATGTAGAAGTAATCATACTTACCTTGCAGAGTTATTGACAGAATTTGAATAATCTTGATATATCGTCAATGCCTTACACATGGTATATAAATACATAAGAAAACATTATGGTTCTATTTATAATTAATTTATTTAAAAGAATGGATCTTATTATATGCAAAGCACTTTTTGTTTTTCTCAGCCCCTAAATGATTTAGGAGATTCTAATGTAGAGCTATGGGTGAATTTCTTTTCATATGATAATTGGAGGATATTTATCTTTCTCCAGAATGAGAGAGGCTGAGATTGAATTGCTAAGGGAACTCTTAGGATGAGAAGTTGTAACACTTGACTTTTGTTTTCAACTCTCTTAGAAGGGATATATTTCCTCCTTATGTCCCATAAGTGTTTATTCAAGGTATATCATATGCAGCAGATGTTTACGCATGTTTACACTGGGGAGAAGGTGAAGAAAGTTCAAGGAGAAAATAATTTAAAATGCAGACTGGGAATCAGTAAGCACAGGGAATCTGAGCTAGTGATCATCATGAAAATGTCCATCACAGAGCACAGAGGATTTTTAGGGCAATAAAGCTATTCTGTTTGATACCACAATGGTGAAAAATGTCTTTATGCATTTGTCCAAATCCACAGAATGTACAACAGGAGTGAGAGTTAATGTAAACTAGGGACTTTGGGTGATAATGATGTGCCAATGTAAGTTCATAAATTGTAGCAAATGTACCACTCTGGTGGAAGATGTTGCTAATGGGGGAGGCTATGCATGTGTGGGAGCAGAGTGTATCTGGCAACAGTCCCCAGTCTTTTTGGCACCAGGGACAAGTTTTATGGAAAACAATTTTTCCACAGAGAGTGGGAGGAAAGGGGCTTGATTTGGGGATGAAACTGTGAAACCATTCCACCTCAGATCAATAAGCATTAACTAGACTCTCATAAGGAACATGCAATCTAGATCTCTTGCATGCACGGTTAACAATAGGGTTCACCCTCCTATGAGAATCTAATGCCACCACTGATCTGACAGAAGTCAGGGCTCAGTTGGTAACACTGGCTCGCCACTGTGTGGCCCGGTTTCTAAGAGGCCACCAACTGGTACCGGTCCATGGCCTGGGGGTTGGGGTCTCTGGGGTACCTCTGCACCTCCTGCTCAGTTTTTCTGTGAACCTACAGCTACTTTAAAATAAAGTCTATTTTTTAAAGGGAAAGAAAAGGTAACCAGTTATGATCCCAAACATATAAAATAAAAATTTTAGTATGAAAAACAGTCACGTTAAAACGCACAGATGTGCTAAGAAGTTTTTAGCAATGGAGTTTCAAATTTCATATAAATTCAGTGATTCATGAGGCAAGAACCCAGCATTTTGGAGTTATGTGCGTGTGTGTGTGTGTGTGTGTGTGTGTGTGTGTGTGTACTATAAGGGTTATACTGAATAGCATAATGGCCAGAGTCATACAGAAATCTATAAATGCCCAACTCAGACCCCTTCCTCAAGAAGTACTGTGGAAAGCAAATTTAATGATAGTTGCATTTTATTAAAAGGATGTATTAAAAACATATTTATGTAATGTTGAAATAGCAGAATTAAAACTAATTCTAAAAAATTAGAGAAACTTTTTATCAGCTAAAAAGTGGGGTCATTGTTGACATTACTATAAATAGGGATACAGACCAACCTGCATGATTTTAAATCATGCGATTCTTAAAAAATTAAGTTATTTGAATTATTTAAGATTACACACATAAAGTGTGACTTCATTAATATTTAGTATTACACTAGTTGAAATTTACAAAATTAGTGGGTCACAGAGGCATTTTGGAGGCCAATGGGGGAGGACTGCTTGAAGCCAGGAGTTCAACAGATGCCTGGGCAACAAAGCAAAACCGCATCTCTACAACATAAAAATAAATTAGTGCATGGTGGCATGCCGGTAGTCCCCGCTACTCTGGAGGAAGAGGAGCACTTGAGTCCAGCGGTTCAACGCTTCAGTGGGCTAGGAGTGTGCACTGCGCTCACTCCAGCCTAGGCAACAGAGCAAGAGCCCATCTCTAAAAATAAATAAATAAATAAATAAATAAATAAATAAATAACATTTATAAAATTTTTTTTTTAGGTTTTTGGGTACATGTGAAGAACATGCAAGATTGTTGCATAGGTACACACATGACAGCGTGATTTGCTGCCTTCCTCCCCATCACCTATATCTGGCATTTCTCCCCATGCTCTCTCTCCGCAACTCCCCACTCCCTGTTGTCCCTCCCCTATTTCCCCCAACATTTATAAAATTTTTTAAATCACACGAAAGATTTCAAGTTTGTACTTACCATATACAAACTAGGGACTTGAAGAATTAAACATCTTATTACACATGAAGCACTTCATGCACAGAGTGGCACATAGTAAGTCGTCAATAGGTATTAACAATTGGTGTTATTGTTATTTCCTGGAATCCAACTAAGCAATCCCACAGCGAATGGCACCACAGGGATACAACCAACAGGATCCAGAATGTGGAACTTCTGTTAGATAAACAACTTCATTTCTTCAGCAACAATTCAGAGAGAGAGAGAGAAGCTATACATTTTTAAAAGGCTGAAGAAATATATGAACCAAATTTATATGAAGCAATCAGAAAAACTGATACCAACTACATTAAGGAATCATTTAACTTTAGTGTGGTAATGGCATTGCTGTTATGCTTCTAAAAAGTCATTATACTTTGGATTTTCATAATAAAATAATTATGAATGAAATATGATACATCAAAATATCTTCAAAATAACCCAGTGTGCATGTATGATTAATTGGGTGTGTTTACAAACCCATGAATTGATCATTGTTAAAGCTGGGCTTTTAAAACATCATAGTCCTACAGGTGCGGTGGCTCATGCCTATAATCCCAGCACTTTGGGAGGCTGAGGCAGGTGGATCACCCGAGGTCAGGAGTTCGAGACCAGCCTGGCCAACATGACAAAACCCCCTCTCTACTAAAAATAGAAAAAATTAGCTGGACATGGTGGCGGGGGGCACCTCTAATTCCAGCTACTTAGGAGGGTGAGGCAGGAGAATCACATGAACCCAGCAGGTGGAGGTTGCAGTGAGCTGAGATCATGCCATTGCACTACAGCCTGGGCAACAGAGCGAGACTCCATCTCAAAAAACAAAAACAAAACATGGTATTCTTCTCTCTACACTTTACATAGTTGAAGTTTTCTGTAATACAAAGTTTGTAAAAAATGCATTCCAGAAAAGTCCCATAAGCACAGGCAGAGAAGCATTCTGTTTGAAGTTAAGTTAGTTTTTAGGCTCTTCTTGTTTTTAGTTAGTTTTTAAGCTCTTCTTGTTTTAGTAGTTAGGAAACCATGAGTATCCAAGTCTGCCTAAGTCTATAGGAACCTCTCAGAAATGCAACTCTAAAGAATATGTATGCAAGAACTAATAATGGCAAACGAAAGCAAAGTATTTTTTCCTTTATTTTTTCTTGTACTAAGCCCCCAGACCTGTTTATGTATTTATTAATTCATCAAAAATACAAAAATGGTCATTGAGTACCATTATAACAATAAGTACCATACTTTATTATCAGTATGATTAAAATAATGTGAAAAGGGATGCATTCATTGTCTTCATAGAGCTTACACTCTAGCGGGAAGAAATATACATATATCACATAATTAATTCCACAAACATATAATTACAAACTCTGAATAATTTATAAAAGAAAAACATGAGGTAAAATGAGAGAATGTTGCATAGGAACCACGTATAATTTGGAAGTATTTAGAGGTGGCTTGAAGAAATGTGCCTTGAGATGAAATAAGATGGTATACAGTATGTAAAGGACAAGGTTGAGGATGGCAGAGCAAATGTCTGAGAAACTCTTAAAATATAAAAAAGAAGATGATAATAAAATAACATGAAAATTATGACAGATTTAATAGAGAAAGCTTATGTAGCACCAAACAAGTTTAAAGTCTTTCTAATTAGAATTCTTAATCTGTAACAGTAATAATAAAATGCTACAAATGATTGGAAAATTTAACAGAAAGTTTGGAAAATTAAATCAAGAAAATCTCACTGACTTTTAAAAAGACAAAGAAACATAAAAATGGTAGAAAAGATAAAACAGAGAACCAAGGAAGTCCCACCTCAGGTGCCAGAGGTAAAGAGACCAACAGGGAAGTTGA